TAGTAGAGGATAGGAAAGGTAGTAGAATACAACAGCCACTAATATGGCAGTATGTAAAAATGTAAATGTGGATGTGTAACCAATGTGATTCTGCAATCTGTATTTGGGGTAAAAATGGGAGTTCATAACCCACTTGATTCTAATGTATGAAATATGAGATATCAAGAGCTTTGTAATGTTGTGAACAACCAATAAAAAAAAAAGAATTTTCAGACCTACACAAAACTAAGAAAGTACAACAAACTCCCGCATATTCATCACTCCCTTTCCAGAGTTCTCAAGATTTCTCACAAATCTTTAACAGCCTTTTCCATTTTTAAATTTTGCTTGTGGTTTTTGTAGGGGATAAAAAAAGTACTCTTCCTCACCTATCACAAGATTCAAGGCTGAGACCCCTGTAACAAAATATGGATTAATAAAAGTACACAATATATTTCTAATAGAATTTTTATATGACATGGGAGCTTTCAGAAATGAAGACACTCATTGCCCTCCCAACCCCCCCAAAACAAACAAACAAACAAAAAAACAGGGAAACCTGTGTATTTTTGTGCTCAGTTTAGATGAAGAGTGGACAGTCCTGTAGAGTGTGACTGGACAAAGAGGGATGTCCTAGTGTTCACAAAGTGGGGGACTCAGCAAGACCTGTTTGTTCAGATTCTTCTGTATGTCCTTGTCTTCAGAGATAAGGACATTCCTTTCCCAGGTACAGAGAGGGCACCTCTGGAATGATCATCTTATGACCTGCCTTAGGGGAAGGCAGAGAACTTTTTACAGTCTGCTTTAGGAGAGAAGGGTGGGAAAAGGTTATGGAGATCGCTCTGCCTCAGTTTCAAATGCCAAGGTACTACACGATGGGGTAGTGTGCCCAGAACACTAGCATTTCCAGATTAATTCACTTTCAGAACGAAGCAAACATACAATGCCTTGCTTGGGGCCTGTGTTTGGCAATCATGAGCTGTCATTAAATGTGTCCTTTCTAGGAATGTGTTCCTGAAAATCTAGACCTGAAGAAGAAGATTTTTGCTCAGCTAGATCGCATTGTCGACGATAGAGTCGTCTTGAGCAGTTCCACCTCTTGCCTGATGCCTTCCAAGCTGTTTGCCGGTTTGGTGCACGTGAAGCAATGTATCGTGGCTCATCCTGTGAGTATTTTAAACCTGGGAGCCAGGTGCGGTGTATGTGCCTGTGGTTCCAGCTACTCAGGACAATGAGGCAGGAGAATCACTCAATCCTAGGAGTTTGAGGCCTGCCTGGGCAACATAGCAGACTCTGTCTCAAAAAAAAAAAAAAAATCAGAAATTGGGAGAATTGATTGTATCTCATTCCATTCATTCCATTTTTGGAGGGGGATACAATAAATTCCAACAAATCTACTAGTATTTTAAACTGCTTTATTGGCATATAATTCACATGCCATGCAATCTGCTGATTAAAATCATATAGTTCATTAGTTTTTAGTATATTTAGACTTGTGAAATACTAGCATTTAAAAAAAGAATGTCTAAAAATCCGTTGGATTTTTATCTGTGTGCCTAAGGCGTCAAGGCATAGAATGAGCAATGTTTGAGGTTTTAGCCCCCGAGTAACTCATCATGTAGCTGAGGAGGCTGACAACTAAACAAGTAATTTCACCCCTGAAGTCAAACTGCTATGATAAAAATGCCTATGTTGAGTAGGATTTTGTAGATAAGTAACTTTTCTACTCAACCAATTCAGAATGAGGTCATTTTTGTTTAAGTACAGATCCTGGCCCACTTCTGAGATTGTGAGAGTCAGGTTTGGCTTTAAATCCTTCTTTTCCTATTGTTCCCTTTCACCATCCATTGTAACCTACTAGGCAAACTTCCTTACTATGAGTATGTTATGAGATTGATTGAGTTATGGGTTCCAAATTGGCATGTGAGCACTCAAGGAATCTTTTTTGAGGTTAAGGTATTAATACTGGGAAAGATATAAGGATCACTCAGTGAATGACATTTGAGTCCTGACAGTGAGCTCAGCATGACCTTGGAGAACCAGGGCAGCCTGTTAGAGCAGGAAAGTTAACTTGGCTAAGCCATGATAAATGTGATAGTACATAATGGTGGTCACACCCTTGGTGTCACCCAGTCATCAGAGGTTAAGGGTAGGAAGAAGCTACACAGAGCAGCTGGGCCAGCCTGGATAGGATCTGGTTGGGCTGATGATGGAAAGAGTGTTTGACACTTGGGAACGGCATAAGCAAAGACCCTAGACCAAGAACACACATAGGCATGTAGGATGTTAAGGAGACCAGTATGGCTGAGAGAGCCAACGTACTTGGGGATCAGTAGGAGAAAGTTGGAAGGCTCTAGAATATAGGTTAAGTATCCCTTATCTGAAATGCCTGGGACAAGAACATTCCAAATTTTGAAGTGTTTTAGATTTTGGAATATTTGCATTGACTTTATCAGTTGAGTATGCCTAATCCCAAAAATGCCAAATCTGAAGTGCCTCTAAAACTCAGAACTTTTTAAGCTTCACATTTGTGCTCAAAAAATTTCAGATTTCTCCTAGGCATAGTGATTCACACCTGTAATTACCGTGACTCCATAGGCAGAGAGGCAGGAGAATCACAAGTTTAAGGCCATCATTGGCAAATTACCAAGAACTTGTCTCAAAATAAGAAAAAAAAAAAGGGCTGGGGATGTGGCTCAGTGATAGTGCTCCTGAGTTCCATTCCAAGTATCACCAAAAAAAAAAAAAAAAAGCTTCAGATTTCTGGAGCAAGTTTGAATTTCAGATTTTAGGGTCAGGGATGCTCAACTTATAGTTGGTTTATAGAGAACTGTGTTACTCTGAAGAACTGAATCCAGTGAAGATGGGTCAGAGAGGGGAGCAATGACAGCATAGGACATGTAGCTGAACATGCGAGACAGGGCCTAGGATTGAGTGCAGGGAAATTCCTCTTTTGAGCAACAGCAGTTGAGAGTGGGAGGTACCAGATTTGCTCAGAGAGGTAGATATCCATCAAATTTTATATGCCCAGAAGAGGAACTGCCTGGAATACCACTGAGCTGCTTAGTTACCATGCAAATGTAAGTGAGGTTTGAACCAGGAGCGAGCCTATCTGAAAGCACCCAAATCAAGTCCCACGAAGCCTGTGACATCTTTCCTTCTATGGCATAGATGTGTCCACAAAAGGGCTCTTGGAACCTGTAAGCCACTATTTAGATTGTTAAACTGCTTGCTTCAGTGGAGGGTCTTTGCTTGTTAGAAAATTCCCAATTTCTAACCAGTATTTTTGCTTTTAAATTAGTTTTAAAAAATTAAAAAGAAAATCTAAACTAAATCAAATTGTCCAGAAATTACTTCTTATATTCTTTGACAAGACTTTCCCCACATCTGTTCAATTTTAAACTATCCAATGGGTAAGATTACTCCTGATTCACTTTCTTCTGTGCTACACACAGCAAAATCCTCTGACTAGCAGGATGATCAGTAACTTGAATAATGACATTTTTTCCATCATCCCTATTGTCTCATCCAGGTACTGTTTGCTTTTACTTGTTTAATCGAAGACAAAGAGCATAGTTAAAGCAAATCCAAACCTTATTGCCAAAATTAATCTCTTGTTGCTTTTATGAAGTATTTTTAATCAAAACTAATGTTAATTAAAAGCAAATCAGATAATCCAAGTTAACCATCTTCAGAATTTTATTTCTTCATTTTTCAGTCATTCCACTGGCATCTACGTGAATGGGGGGAAATAATCTTGAATAAGTTGGACAGGTAGTCCTAAGTAATCAAGAACCATCGATAAACTTTGAGGATCCAGAGTTTCCCAGGCCAGAAAGGAGAAGTTGAGTGCCTAGCTCCCATCCTCAGTCCTTCAGGTGTCAGTTATCTTTGTCTGGACAGGAAATAGGATGAAAGAGGAGGCGGCTTCATGCTCCTGAAAGGCCCTGGCAAAAGGGGGACATTCAGCAATTGCAAAAGACTCCATCTCCACCCCAGCACAGAGAAGTCACTAGCCAGCATGTTGTGACATCCACATGTTCTCTCAGGCACCTTTTATAGGAGTTAAAGCACCTTCTGCTCACCTTCCTCAGCACTGGGAGGTGAGTGGAAGGTGCTCACAGGGTAGGCATGTGGTGTCAGTGCAGAGTAGTTTAGTGTGGGCTTCCTAAAGTCAACAAAAGGGGCTGTGGGTGGACATCACACATGAAAGGCCCAGGAAGATGGGTATTAACACAGCCATTCTCTCTATTCTGAACATTCTTCCTTTCATTTTTTTTTTTTTTGTGTGTGTGTGACTTTCTTCATCTACTTCATCTCTCTGAGGTGATGACTCCAGAATTCTGGTGGACAGGAGTTTAGATATAACAGTATGGCTCCTAGGGCATGTTAGTAAAGGACTGTCTGGAAGTTGCATTTCATCTCAAAACCTACTGTTACTTAGAATCTGTGTCAGCCATCAGTCAAAGCAGGAGAGGGTTCTACTGATACTTTAGCCACACTCTACAAAATCTTCCCTTCTTTTTCCTTCCTGAGCTCAGTTTGGGGAGCATGATGGACTGGTGGATGTGATGGAGGTCTCCTTAGCCCCCCAGTGCTCTGCTCTGTGAATGATGCTCTCTGGAAGGGGGCAGCCTGCCTGCAGACAGTACAGCCAGAAAAAGAGGCATTTGTTTTTAGGATGCATGGCCCCAAACATGTATCTGGTCCACCACTGAGCTCCAGTGCTGTCTAGAATTAGATCAGGGCCTGCTTCCTTCTGTAAAGTACCAGGAGGCTCCCCCAGCCGCCTTTGCCCACACTTGTGTCTTTTCTGATGCACCCTTCTGTCTGACACACAAACCATTTGCCCTTGTGTTGGCTGTCATGTACATATTTGGTTTATGGGCTTGCCGCTTGTAAGAGCAGGTGTGTTTCTGTGCATTTCTTTGTATATCTGTATGGTACCGCTTGGTCCAAGCTTGGTGCTGCTGCTGCCCAGAGGATGCCTTTTAGCCCTCTCTGTGAGATGAGAGGACCAACTACAGAAAGTAGCAAAACACAGAGGTATTCAATACTCTCCACCACTCATCTTTAGCCTGCGTTTTCATCCTGGGAAGGAGAAAAGGAATCTGCCCCCTCCTCTGCTGTATGTGGATGAATTGTCAATGGTCTGGCTGTCTCCTGGGAGGGCTGGCTGCCTCTCCTATGGGGCTGACTGGTTCCATGTGCCCAGAGAGGGTGAAGGAAGCCTGTGTTGGCGCGCTGTGCTATCTGCAATCACATGCACCAGGCTCTGTTTCAGATACCCGACAGGAGGAAGAATGCTCCCCTTGTGCCTGGCCCAGCCTAGGCTCCTACAGAGCCTGGCAGCTGCAGCCCCTCTCTGTACCTCCGGCCACGCGCACCCTGCCTGGGCTGAGCACAGGGACCATCCCCGGAAACTTTGGAGAAACTGCCTCCTTTTCTGAGTGTTTGTCTTCCAAATTCCTGGGGGATGTGTCTCCTAGTCTGCCTCGCAGTCTTATAGCAGAAGGGCCCATCAGAAAGGAAAGTGTTGAAGACAGTGTGTTTGTCCCTTAACCTTTCTAAGCAGGAGCCCTTTGACTCACTCCTCTCCTCTCTCTCTATTGCTTGAAACACAAGGGGCCCCATCACTGTTGATAGCTATGCAGTTCTGTGCTCAAATTCTCTTTTCTCTCTTCTTGTGAATGCATTTCTTTTTCAAGTGTTTTGTTATTAGATACTGAATCTAAGGCCTTTCCAAAGATACACCCCCTCCCCCACCCAGACCATTTGGGATAGGTGGGCCCAATCAGCCAGAGCAACACTCCCCAGAGCATCTCCTTGACCCTTCTTCTCTTTCCCTCTCCCAAGGTGAATCCTCCATATTATGTCCCACTGGTCGAGCTGGTCCCTCACCCAGAGACGGCCCCTGCAACAATGGACAGAACCCACGCCTTGATGAAGAAGATTGGACAGTCCCCCGTGAGAGTCCTGAAGGAGATTGACGGCTTTGTCCTGAACCGCTTACAGTATGCAATCATCAGTGAGGCCTGGAGGCTGGTGGAGGTGCATGTGCCCTGCCCCCCTACCCCCCACTTTCCACAGTTGAGCAGGACAGCAGAAGTGACTTCCTCAGACACCCTGGGAGCTGGGAAAGTCAAAGGGCACTCGATGCTGCTTGCTCTATTCCAGAGACGCAGGGCAAGCTTTGGAAATCAAATGCCACGTTGCAGTTCATTGTCTGTTCAAAAGATTCCTCTCTTACAGTCAGTCATTTGATATCGGGACACGATGAAAGACCTCTCTCCTGCCCTTTCATAGCATTTCCACATAATTACCCGGGTGAGACACACTGCATTTTCCCACAGACTCATGTTTTATCCCCTCACTGAGTGTTAAAATTTTTCAGGAGGAAAAAAAAATGATATTTTGCGCAAGGTAAACTTGTACTCCCTGAAGAAACTCAACTTATTTCAAGAATTTGGAGAAGAAATTAAATAAGCATAAAACTTTTTAGTAATAGGAAATATATATATTATATGTGTTGACCACATCCATCCACTGGTCCTATATTTGTGGACTCAAGTAACCGTGGATCAAAAATATTCAAAAACTAGGTCTGTTTTGAACATGTATAGTTTTTTTTCCTTGTAATTATTCCCTCAACAATGAAGTAGAACATCTGTTTATATAGTATTTACATGGAATTACATACAAATCACTTAGAGATAGTTTAAAGTATGCAGGAGGATGTTTGTAAGTTCTATGCAAATACTATGCCATTTTATATATGAGACTCAGATTTTGGTATCTGCACAGGTCCTGGAACAATCCCCCATGGATACTGAGGGACAACTGAACATTGTTTAATAAAAGGATTTTTACATGTGAGTCCCTACACACCTAGCTGTGTACATTACCATGCCCATTTATGTGAGGATCCATGATCCCTGGCAGGGGAGAGTCAGGGCTGCCCTAGGACATGGAGAGTCAGGCCATCTGGCTTTTGCCTAGCTTCTACATGGGTCAAGCAAACTGTGCCCACACCGGTTTCTTAGAAACATGGTAGAGTATGTAAGACTTTGCCCAATCCTCAGGCAGGGAGGGCTGTGCTCGGCTTGAACCATCTGCACCTGGCTTGGCCCCTCAGTTCCTTGTTGTGACTCGCAGGGCTGCACACCAAACCTCACCTGAGACAGGAACCAGGAAGCCACCTGTGTCTCAGCTTCCTTGGGTGTTGTTTTTTAGCTTCCCAGCAGTTCCTTCAGATTTCAGCAGAGGTGCATGTTGTACGTGACCCTCCCACTCCTTGCTCCTGGTGTTTGGTCAGATCCCTGAGACATTCATCATCTGACAGCCCCATGCACCTGGCACACAATGGGCTCAGTGCTGCAAATCAGTAAATTTGCTTAATGCTCCCACACCTGGAAGATACAGTGCTGGGATTTCCACTGCTACATTGGCTATTTTAATTTCTTAGTACTTGTAGAATATTCTCAGATATCAGTCAGTGTTAGGGCATTTTAAAGAAACACTGAACTTCAAGTACCCACTTTGAGATCTATTTAAAATATTCCCACTTACCTAGTATAGGACAACAATTTAATGGACCAAAAGAAGAGTTCAATACTACAGTAAAACATCTGCATGGTGGGGCAGCAGTTTAAAATTTTTACTTGCAAGGTATTTTAGTGTCTTGCTGTCTCCCATCTGAAAGATGAACCAACTCTAGGAGGAATTTGGAGACTCTGGTCAGAGAACTGGGCAGGAGGCATACACAAAGATTTTTTTTTTATTTATTTTAACCAGAACTGGTTTCAGTTTGGAAGGTCCCAGCAAAATTTTGGTGTCTCCTTTTACAGTTGGAGGAGGGCAGACTGGAGGGGCTGTTGAGTTTGCTGTTTTGGAAGTTCTTGTTGGTTTGTGTTGTCCACCATTCATTGAATTGTCCTGTTTCCATGGGTTCATGGCAGACTGCATATAGTTGTATTATTGGCTTGTAGAATGTTTTCACCCTTAGTTTTCAGGGATGATATAACTCCTGAGAAAGTAAATTCAGCATGTGGCTCTGCATTGCCTGCTATGGGGACTCATGCCTGGAGTCCACATAAGGAAGTAAGTGTTATATCTGACAGGATATAGTTGGTTCCAATATAAGACGCAGCCAACAAAAATGAGAAAGTTAAGGAAGTGTGAATAAAACCCAAAGACTTGCTTTTCAGGAAAGTCTAGAAGATAATCTTTTCTCAAAAACAAAAATGATCTGCAGATAGTTAGGATTAAGGCAGATTTAGAAACTATAGGTGCATCTCTCCAGGATGTGGGGAGGGATAGGTTGGGAGTACAGCATGGGCAGCTTTCAGCTTCCATGGGGGTAGGTGCACAGAGAAGGGTATGGAAGAAGACTGGGACCTCTGATATTATACCTACTTTGATCATCTGTGCACAGTGGCAGCTCCCTGGCTGGCTACCCAAGAACTCTAGCGGATATGGGAAGACATGTTTACCTACTCCTGAAGCAGCTGCTGATATGGGCTTCTGAGGGTCCACGTGGATGCCTTCTTTTCTGTAAGGCTCCAGGGTTTTGAAACATGCCAGGGCCATGTTTCATCTCAAGGTTGCCCAAGATAAATCTTCTCCATAATTATTGTGCCAGCTTCAGAGTGTCTTTCACTTAGAAGGCAGCAGTGTACCTAGTGTTGTACCCATTAGGTGGATTGATATAAGTATGATTGACTACTGTGTGAATTTCTTGCCAGAAAATCCATGCTGCTTATCTTCAGATTCTGCAAAGCAACAAAGGTTAGAAAATTTATCCAGAGCTACACCCTTCCCTGCTGCAAATCTGCATACGTGCTCTGAGCCAGGTCTAGGTGAGAGTTAAATGACACTCCTCTGACTCACAACTTCGGAGCCAGTTGAACTTGAATTTATGTTTTGGTATTTGTCAACAATTGAATTTGAACTTAGATTTGAGTTTTTCCCAACTTACTTCAAAACTTTTAAAAGCAACTTTAATATCAAAAAGTAGACCTAGGAATAGTTTTATAGTACACATTTAAGTTCATAAGATCCATAAGCCTTGCAGACCCCCTCTACCCTCTGTACTAAGGATGGAACCCAGGGCCTCATGCATGCTGGGCAAACACTCTACCACTGAACTGTACCTCAAGCCCCTTTGCAGAGCTGCTTCTTTTTGCAAGCAAGGACTGGGCTGAGTTCCACTTGTAGCCAAAACTGCCTGACACTTGATACTGGACTGCAGAGAACAGAATGAGCTTTCATATTGGGGAGTTGCCCCTCCAGGACTCCACATGGATGCTGTCTCATTATTTCATAAAGCAAGTTAAAAATGCACAGGGTCTTTTATACTGGACCCAAGCTTGGTGCATCCATCAGTTAGAGCTAGGGTGCTTTTCAAGGTAAGAAAGGTACCAGGTGACTTAGCTAGGGCGTAAAGGGAGTCAGTTAGAAATGGGCCTGTGAGCCTTTGGGAGGAATGTTGTTCTCTGACATCTTTGTGTGAATAGCTCTTAGCAAATCAAATTCAAGTGTGAATTTCCCAGGGTCTGACCCTAAGTTGGGATCTGGGCTCGAGGAGGACAGGCAGTAGGCTTGGCTTAAATGAGAGTTTGCATTTCTGCCCCTCATGGTCTTGTCTTTGTGTTGATGTGGAAGGAGCAGAGGAAGATGCATTGCTGTTCACTCACAGGGAATTACATTGATTGATTAATGTTGAATCAGCCTTGTCCAGAATAAATCTCACTTGCTCATGGTATATCATTCTTTTCTTAAATCTAAGTGTTTGGTTTTAATTGACAATAATTGTGTACACTTATGTGGTACACTATGATGGTTTGATACATGTTTGATACATTTTGGAATAATGATATCAAGCTATCACATCCATCACTTCACACACATCTTTTTGTAATGAGAACGTATAACTTCTATTCTTTTAGCAGTTTTGAAATACATAATACAATGTTAATAGCTATGATCATCATGCTGTACAGTAGGTTTTGAAAACTTATTCCTCTTAATTGAAACTTCATGCCTTGAACAGTGTCTCTACATCCCTCCTCCCTAGGTAACTTACCTTTCTACTCTCTGCTTTATGAGTTCATCTCTTTTATTTGTGTTGGGGTTTTTTAAACATTTTTTTTTTTAGTTGTTGATAGAAATTTTCGAACCCAGTGCCTCACACATACTAGGCAAGTGCCCCACCACTGAGCCACAAGCCCAGCCCCTGTGTTTGGTTTTTGGGTACTGGAGATTGAGCCAAGGGGCACATATCCACTGAGTCACATCCCCAGATCATTTTTATTTTGAGACAAGTTCTCACTAAGTTGATCAGGAGCTCACTAAGATACCGAGGCTTGTTTTGAATTTGTGATCCTCCTTCCTTGGCCTCCTGAGCTGCTGGGATTAGACATGCACCACTGTGCCTGGCAGTTCACCACATGTAAGTGAGATTATATGGTGTTTTTTGTGCCCAGCTTATTTCCTTTAGCATAATGTCCTCCAGGTCTCTACATGTATGCATATGATTGCAGAGACAGATTTTTTTTTTAAGTCTGGATAATAGTCCATCATGAACATATACCACATTTTCTTTATCCATTCATCTACTGATGACACTTAAGTTGATTTGAATCTTGATTATTGTGCATATGCTGCAATGAACATGAGAACACGGATATATTTTCAACATACTGAATTCAGTTCTTTTGGTTATGTGCCCAGAAGTGGGATTGTGGGTTCTATTTTTTAGTTTTTTGAGGCACCTCCATCCTGTTCTTCATAATGGCTATATTAATTTACATTCTCACATGGTATGTCATTTGTTTTAGTCATTGCTGGGTTCAATTTGCTTATGTTTTGTTGAGAATTTGTTTGCATCCAAACTCATAGGAGATGTTATCTATAGGGATTTGTTTGTTTGTTTGTTTTTGGTACTATCTTTTTTTTTTTTTTTTACTTTAATATTAAGGAAGCACTGGCTGCATAAAATGAGTTGGGAAACTTTCTTGTCTTTTCCGGAAGAGATTACACAGATTAATTTT